CCCCCGGGCAGAGCAGGGGAAGCTGAGAAGTCCTTGCCTGGCATGAGCAGCACTGAGCAACAACTGAACCATCAGCGTGTTATCAGCGTTATCCTCATCCTAAATCCAAACCAAAGCACTGTGCCAGCTGCTAGGAAGAAAATGAACTCTGTCCCAGCTGAAACCAGGACAGCCACGCAGAAGGGTTACCTGCCACGTGGCTGCGTCCCGCGCCTTCCCTGCCAGCACTGGGCAGGGGATGCTTGCTGTGAGCAGGGGCCTGCGGGCAAGCAGCTCCCAGCCCCAGTAACAAAAAAACGGAGGGACCCAGCTCCATCCCTCCTGGCAGAGGTTGTTTTGTAGACAGCCCCCACCCTCTGGGGTGACAATGCTCAGGGACTCAGGGACGAGCGCTGAGCAAGCATCTCGGAGCACGCGGACATCTCAGGACATATCTTCATTTATTCCCCCAAAACAAACACATCACAAAAAGGCTCAGTCTCACGGGGCAGGATTGCTGTCAGATCAGGAAAACGCTTCGCAGTTAAGAGAAAGCACACGTACAAGGCGGCCGTGTATAGTACCGAGTAATATTTATTTTGTATTTAAATTTTCTTTGACTATAAAGCGACGAGCTGCACTTCAGACAGCGGCACTCTCAATATGTACAAGATGATATTGTTTATTTCTTCCCAAAAGTGAGCGGGGGAATCTTAATCATAGAAGTCATCAAATTCGTCTGCTTCTGTGCTGTGAGTTCGTGGGCACAAAGCTGCCTCAATCTCGGAGCTGCTGTCGTCAGATTCGCCCCAGAAAGCTAAGGGTAAGGAGAAAAAAAAAAAAAAAAATTAAAATCTTTTCCACGTTTGTCATTTATGCCACAGACATGATCATTTTGGGGCTCTCCGGAGGCAGACAGACACCGTGGCTTACGGAGGGAGTCAAGAGTTTAGAGGACGGCAAGACCTAGATGTGCGTTTCCGACACAGCGTGCTGTCAACGCGTCGTGGTGCCCGGTAACGGAGCTGCCGTGGCCGAACAGCGGGCTCATTCACAGGGCCCACTTCATTGTTCCTCAAGGTAGCTTGAGAGAACATTTCCACTCCAAGCGATTTACTTGACCAGCTGCTGCCTGAATGACAGCTTTGTCTATTATCTTCCACTTTCTCCCTCTACTTGACCCTGCGGTGAAGTCACGGTCGGAGCATGACGTCACAGAGTTGGCATAAAAACGGCAATGATGTCACAAATGAAAAATCACCGCTTTGTGATAGGATCAAATACAGGCAAGACTGACTTCAAAGAACTGCATGGCTTTAACAAACAGCTCTGGGAATTAGTGAACAATTTCACTGAAATAAACAGAATGACATTTAAATTCAGAGTGCCTAGGAGATTCCTCGATACGTAAATTCATCTGACCCACGAAAGGAAGTGAAAAGCACGGCACAAGGGAAGTGTAAGTCGAGCCCATGGTCGCTTACAGAGCTGCGCTGTCTGCTCAGACCACTCCAGAGGGCTGCAGTTTGTCCAAAATCAGCGCCACAGCCGCGATACCCCAAAGGAGGGGTAAGACTCAGAAACAGGGAGAGGAAGGCTGTTGTGCCTCACACAGAAATGTCAGCTCACGTTTGACCGAGGCACTGGTCACGTGTTCAGTGCTTTTGAAGGCACAAGCTATATAAATATCTTATCTACAAATACAGCAGCTGCATCTTTCATCCTATATCCCCGGCCCCCTGGACTGCAGGTCTGCCCTCTGCCCGGCTCGGCAGCGGCGCCAGCTGAGCGCGTGGGAGGAGAATGGATGCTCTGAAAGGCTCCAAAATCCGAAACTCGCCAGCGGAGAAGGAAACGGGCTGGGGATGCGAGAGAGGCCTTTCAAACGGCACCAAAGCAGCCACTGTTTATGGCATCCTTAAGTCGGCTCAGATGCCACACCTCTAAAACACGCTCTGTAGCCGTCGGGACCGCGTAGCTCCCAAAGCTGAGCCCCAGGCAGAGCTCCCTGCTCCCAGCGCTGACTTCACTCACGGCAGGCTCCGTTAGAGGCGACTTCAGACACCAGCGGTTGTTACGGTGGTTAAAAGAGAAAAATGAAATGCAGGCAAGAATGAAAACACGCAGGGCCCAAACACCAATTTCAAAGAAAGCCTGCTTGCTCACGGAAAAAAAATTGTTCCGGACGCACACACACGGGTGCGCAGGCACCTTTGTGCGCCTGCCTGCTGTAACTGTGCAAGCACACGTGCTGCTGCCCGCCCGCTTCTGCAACCCATGTTGCAAAGGGAAGAGCAAGAAAACATCAGTTTTATTCCTCCTCCAGCTTTTCTCCTACCTGCTATTCGCTGTTTGATTTAAACCCTGAAGCAAAGGTTGCTGCTCCTTCCAGATCATATGCAAAGAGCACAACTCCTCCCACACCCTGTGCGCTATGCAACACGTCCTCTGGTCCAAAATCTGTCATCGTCAACTATCTGCTGGCTGCTGTGTTGAGACAGGGAAATTCCACGCTTTCCCATCTCCTTATGCTGGTATTTTATACAGTTCCATAGTGTCGTCTGTAGAGGTTTTCTACAATATAAATTACACTTAGAAGGACATCGATTTTAAATAGCATAACGTTTATTTCTTACCTTTGGATTTTATAGCAGTTACCATTGCCTTCCTAGTTTCAGTTCTGTAAAAGAGAAAGATTTCAAGTAATCAGCACAATGTCACAAAATTAAAAGAACTCAACTTTTTTTTTTTTTTTTTAAAAAAACTGAGATGGTTTAAAAAAATTCCAGCAACTTCCATAACTACTTTTTTTTTTTTTCTCTCTTTTTTAAAATGACTATTTTATCGAGGGTTTCTTCACCTTTATGTATTCTAAAAGGTGGGGAAATTAACATGCAGCAGGGACATCGGTCCAGATGTTCAGGCAGCGTGAACTGGAGTCATTCCTTGGTAACGGCGCCGATTTACACCAGCAGTGAATTAAGGCCACAAAGGATCAGAGCTCCGTCTATCTTTTGCAGCCTTTCAGATAATGCAAAGAAAGTAAAGACGAAAATCCAAACAAAAATAAAAGCACCCCCCACTGATGCTCACTGAACTTCCTTATTCCCCTTCCTGCCCGCGTACTCCTCCGGCCCAGCTCCTGGGTTCCCATAGCATCATCCACGTCCCTATGTAAATGTGCAATCTCCCAGCTGCCTTTGATCTACCTTGATGTATATGCAGTTGCGACTCTGCTCCGTTAAATGACTGCTCTTGTGTCTAGAGCATCACAGGCCCTTTTGAATCTCTCAAACAAGCTGGAATCATTTTGATCTTTTGTGTGTAGCGTGTGTATTGTGTTGGTGCTGCGAAATAATCACATCGGGGCAATGATGTAGGAGAATTAACCGTTATATTAACAATCCCGCAATAAGCTCTAAAAATAAAGCTTCAGCTGATTTTAATAAGGAAGATCAAATAGGAGATATTTGTGACATTACTGTGCAAACTAGTAAAATATAAGTGCGTGTCAAGCTGCAATTTGAAGCTGTTGCCACAGTCAAAACAGGACTCAATCAGCTGTCAAAAATTTCAGACCGGTTGCTGCATTTCGTTTAAAGACATGGCAGCTAATACAGAATTCCTTAAGGCGGGGAGTTAAAAATATTCTAACTACCATCGTGGAGGCATTTGTGAAGGAGATAAAAAAGCAAAAAGCAGAGATGATTCGTTCCTTGTCTTATACCACTGTATTCAGTAAGAATTTGTGACTGCAGCTGGAAAGCTAAACTTAAAAGCAGGGGGAAGTTTCATTACGTTACAGCTACCTATGTTACAGAAACTTTTGCTTTTAAATAAGAGAAAGCTCATACTGTTTAAATCGCATTCCTTTTCTACAAGCTGTGAATGCCATTAGCACACAACCTCCCTCTTTGCAGATACACAAACATTTGCATAAATAGAATATTAAATGTAGCCAAAGTTTAACCAAGATACCAAACTGAGGCTTAAGTACTAGTAACAAGTAACAGTACTAGCAGAGTATTAACAGTAACATAACTAATTATTAACTTATTAAGTAAAAGAAATTTCAAAATGTTAGCCTTCAAATGTTTATCTGACATTTTGTTAGCGTGCCACCCAAGCGCCCTTCCGTTTTATTCACAGTCAGACCCTACACTGCGTTACACTTCAGCTTCTCGTTCAAATACATTTACTCGACAGTATTTTCAGCAAGTATTTAAAGTCAGAGCCTCTGTGTTGAGTCCTGCAATACGCCGAACGCCCTTAACTCTTGCTCACTTTGGTGCGATTTCACGACCCTCAGCGCTTCCCAGGAGGTGCTCCACGTATCCCAGGCTTAGCCCATCAAAATGTGCTCAAGAGGCTGCAACTCGGGCGGCTGCATCGTTCTTTCCCCTGGGTGCAGAGCGAGAAACCACTTGTTGCTGAGCTACAAATTGAGAGGTGACTTCTGTGGCAGACCGCACAAGAACCATTTTATCTTCAAGTAGTTCAGTAAAACAAGATCAGGCAGCTGGCAGCTACCGCTTCCGCTGCCTGCTGCTTCGTCTCCCACTGTCAAGAAGGCAGGCGCAGGGGGCGTCCTTACTCAGCCACGCGAGGAGGTCCCTAAAAGTGATTTTTTTGCTCCACTTCTCTCTGCAGTTCAAGCCCAGATCAAACAGGAGAGGGTTGGTCATTTGGGACCAGAGCCTCTGCTGTACCGAAGACCACCAGGCACAACGGGGAGTGCGGGACCACCAGTGGAGGGCTGCCCAGGTCTTGGGCGGCTTGGTCCTCCTGCACAACTCGAAACGCTGCGAGGCGCTCCAGGTCCGGCTGGAGACCAGCGGTCTCACGGAGAAGTTGTGGTGGACAGAGACCACCATGGCTGTCAGAAAATCTGGAAACCTTCCCTCTTCTGCCCCAGCTTCCCATGAAGAAAAAGGTCAACGCTGACAGGAGAGCAGAGGAAGATGGATGTTTGTATTCTACCCAAACCCATCCATCTGTTGGGGTTCATCCTTCCAGAGCTTAGCTACTGCGCGGAGAATGGGATTCACCGGCAGAACAGCACAGAGCCGTAGCGCTGCAGCCCGGGAGCCGGGCGTTGGTGCGACGCAGCAGTCCGTGAAGAGAGAGACAGGGAACAGGGCGTCAGCAAAGGCTTGGCGTGAAAGCCGTGGGCCACAGAGAAAGGCCTGGGGAGATAGGGGAAATGGAGCTAGGACATCAGAAAGGCCAGATCGGCAATCGCAGCTTTGCCAAACCAAGCCTGGAAAATGCTGCAAGATAGCTTTGTAACAGGGAATAAAATTCCTGAATCACGTCTGAAGTGTGAGTCCAGGCTGATAAGATGCAAGACGACTTCTACGTTGCAAAACATTCGTATTCAGAAATCGGCAAATTCAATCATGAAAGTTATCATCTGGTATACCGAGTGCACAATAACCACACAGACCTCCGTGGAGAAATTTTAGGAGTATAAATGAACTAAAGCCAGTTTCACTGCCTCGACTAATCCCCTGTTGTGACCCTTCGATATCCATTTACACATTTGCTTCTTCCCTAAAATAATTCCAAACTGAACCCAGGCTCTAACAAAGAAAAAACCCAAACCAGTTTAACTTCAAAGGGCCATTTAATCTCTCCTTTACTCTGATGAAACAGCCTTTTTGTATTGAAGATGCTGCAACAATAAGAAATGAAAAAGCTCTAAGAAAACATTTTTCCCTCCATAGAGAAAATTAATATTAAAAGGAAAATACCAGACCAACGAGAGCCAAGTTAAGAGAGGTGGCTCACTGAAAACCAGCAGAAAATGTTTGCTTTAGCTTGAGTATCTTTTTGCTAAAGCACCTGTTGAACCTCTGTGTTTTAGTGTCAAGTGAAAAAAAGACACCCAAACACCAAGGGAGGGGGAAAAAAAAAAAAGACACCCAATTACAAAAAAAAACCCCAACCCTTAAACCCCAAAGAAAACTACCTAAACATCAAGGAAAAAAACCCCCAAACTAAAACCAACAAACAACACCTAAGTGCCAAGAGAAAAAAACCACTACCCAAATGCCAAGTTTTATCAGAAAAACAAACAAGAACGTGGAGCGCAGCAGCCTCGGGAACACCGATACTCCTGCTAATCTTGTCAGAGGCTCAAAGCCCGCGCGCCTCCGTCCTGCACACCCGTCGCTGCGGCAGCACGCCACGGAAAACAAATCCGGCATTTCTTTTTCGCAGGGTGGTGCTTATTAACCCTCGGCGAGAGAAACGACGAAGCCTCTCCCCAGCAATACGTGGGGATGCGGAGTCGCGGATCCATCTTTGAAAATCGTTTTTCGAAAAGCATCTGAAAAGCGGGCGGCGGCGAGCGAGCCAGGCTGCTCCGTGGCGGCGGCCCCGGCTGGCTGTC